GGCGACTCTGAAATAAATAAACCAATCCCGTTTCGATTGTCCTTTAATTGGAAAAAACTTCCTCGTACCCTCTCGGGTATGTAAAAAGGAGGTGTGACACCTATGCACGACATGACATTCATACGCATATGCAAAATACCATAAGTGTTTCATGATTTACAGAGTTATCTAGACTTACAAGTTACATCATTTATTCTATATTTCTTCCATGTTTGTTATGTACTTATTTATGTGCCTTACATATTCGGTAAATTATTCGTACTGACATCCCTTTTGGCTGGGGAAGCTACGTTTCATGCCCGCAGGTCATGATAGATAGGTCGAGAGCCCTCCAAGTAGGCTATCAGCTCACTGGAAGATGTTGGTGCGCTTTATTTGCTTCGAAGTTGCTTATTTGGTTAGTATGATTTAGTCGTGTATTATTTGGTATGGTTGGACTCTGTCTCAGCATTTATGGGAATTATGTATTTTTAGAGGCTTGTATATAGATGTCATGCATGTAAAAGATTGTGTGGCCTTATCGGCCCATGTTCAGTACACGAGAAGTTATTTTGGTCTTAAAGGCCTGTACTTCATATGTATAAGTTTGTATTCCCTCATGCTTTACTCTGGTTCATTTACCTATGATAGAATGATATGAACGATACATTATGTTGGTACTAGGTTGAGTAAGGTACCGGGTGTCCGTTGCGGCCCATTGGTTTGGGTCGTGGCACTTTTATTGATCAACTTCATCGTACACTGAGGGTTATGCATGCTAGTGATACTATGGCAGTAGAGTTTGCTTCTTGTTGGTTACGGGAGTTAGCGGTTTTCTGGTATGATAGTTGGGATAGATCTAGGGATTCGAATGCTCCTCCAGCTGTGTGGAAGGAATTTTCTAAGGCCTTTCTTCATCACTAATTGCTAGTTGAGATACGACGAGCTAGAGCTGATAACTTCTTGAAACTTCGACAAGATATATGAGCGTTCAGGAGTATAGTATGCAGTTTGATTCCTTAGCAAGGTATGCTCCCCATATGGTGGACGAGATGAGTGATATGGTGCATCAGTCTATGAATTGGTTGGGACCATATTTGATCAATGAGTGCACGACAACCTCCTTGGTGGAGGGCATGGATATTTCCCATATTCAGGCTTATGCCCAGACACTAGAGGATCGTAAGCTACTAGCAAAGCACAAATAGGGAGCACGGTAGGGGCCAGCATAAGAGGGTGAGATTTGCAAGGTATTCTAGTGACTTTAGAGGTAGTTTCAGGCCCTTGTCTTCAAGGAATTCGGCGCCACCTGTAGCTAGTGCTCCTCAGTAGTTTCAGAGGCCTAGGTATGATCATTCCTTCTATTTTTGTCCAGGGCAGAATTTGCAGGCATCAGACTCGTAATATCATGGGGATACTAGTAATGCATGACCCCTATCACCCCGTTGTCATCAGTGCGGCAATGCCTACTGTGGACTGTGCCATCGAGGTTCCGATGCATGCTATTATTGCGAACAACCTGGCCATATGATGTTGGATTGTCCTAATAGAGGAGGTGGTGATACGGCTCAGCCGACTAGATCTGTGTCTGGTTCTTCCTCATCAATTTGACCTCTAGCATGGGGTTTATAAAAGTCGAAACAGGTCGTTGTAGAGGTAGAGGTGCAGTGCCGAGTTCGAGCGGTACTCAAAATCAAACCTGTGCTCTAGCAGGTCGATGTGATCTCAAGTCATCTTTGGATGTTGTCACGGGTATATTGTCTGTGTTTTCTTATGATGTATATGCGCGATTCATTCGAGATCTATATTATCATATGTTACACCCTTTGTGGCTAATAAGTTTGGTGTTGAACCTGAATTGATAAGTAAACCACTTGAGGTTTCCACTCTGATAGGAGATTCTGTGATTTCTAGAAGGGTATATAGAGGTGATAGAATATATGGGTCCACCAAACTCTTTATAGAACCATGTTCTTTATCAGGTCCAATAGTACACACACACACATCAGTAATTAAATGGCAAGAGGAATTTTATGTGAAAAATTCCCAGCTCAACGGGATTAAAAGCCACGACTTACCCTTGTAGGATATCAACTTTCCTACTGAGAAACTTTCAGATTACAACCTATGCAACCTAGAAATTAACCTCTTAATCCCTCACTCACTTGTAATACTATATTACAAGCCACTTTGCAAAAACTCTATTACAAAGACTTTACAACTTGACTAACTTTAGCCAAGACTCAAACATACTGGTTTAAGGTTTACAAATGAGTTCCTATAGAATGCTTCTAAACAAGCTAGATAGGAATAACTATTAATGAACTATTACAAAGTCACAACTTAACTAAGGACATACAATAACTCTATGTGGGAACTGGTCTGTAGTTGTTTTGTTCTTTGTTCTTGAAGCACTTCAAACTTGCTTGCTGGATGGTCACATTGATAAGCTTGTCAAAATGTTCAAGTCATTTGTTTTACCTCCTAAGCATTTATAGATACATGTGCGACATCACTTACCATGATACAAGCAAGATAGGTAAAAAGTCTTCCCTGGTAAAATGTCTGGAGGGACTAAATCTACGAAGCACTAGGAGGAGAAGGTTTAGAAGCAGAGGAAATTGTTTGGAGGAATAGATCCATACGAGCATTTGTTGACATTTCCTCATTGAGCAGTCTTTCTTTCAGGTCCTCCACTTGTTTCTTGAGCTCAGTGTTCTCCTTTTTCATACTAGCAACTTCTTCATTCTGAGAATGACTTGAACCAAGTGCCTCTTACAGTCGACTTATCTAAGTCTCAAGGATAACATTCCTTGCTTTCAATTTCCTTATCTCTGTAGTAGCACTGTTTTGAGTTTAACTGGTCCGAGAGGAACCTTGAAGTAATCGAAGACCATGGTGAGAAGGAACCCATATGGTAGCCCATAATTACCATCTTTAAAATTAGCCACTTTGTTCATGTGCTCTATTATGATCCTAGGAAGATTGATAGTAGTAAGGTCATCCATTACTTCCATGAGGAACAGGTCTGCACGAGTGGTAATGGATCGTCGCTCAGCTCGAGGAAGAAACACTTTATTTACCATTTCAAAGAGCAATTGGTAAGCCTTATTCAGAACCCGTTCCCCTTTATGAACCACTCTGTCCTTCAAGATTGCATTTCTAAAGTTTTGAGTACAAACTCCTTGACGCTAGATATCCTTCAGTGGGCACACTAAGAATAAACCCCAGCAAAGCATCGTCTAATACTATATCAACTCCATTAACCAATGCACTAATGTGACCATCCTCAACATTGTACAAGTTGGCATAAAAGCTTTAAACTTCCTCCTCATATACCCTGGCAACATCATTGGTGAACAAGTGTGTCCATTGTTGGAAATCACAGATCTCAACCAACTGTCTCATACCAGCCTCCTCCAAGACATCAGTGGCAAATGTGCACCCCAGAGTACCTTTTGACTTCTCGATCTTTCTTTCCAAGCACTCCTCGGATCATCAGCCTTGGCCTTCTTTGAGGAATCAGGTGCGTCAGTAGTATCGATCTTTCTCTTAGTAGTCTTGCGGATACCTTTCTTCTTTTTATCAGACTCCATATATTTGTCACCTGAGTCTTTATACACATTCTCAGTAGCATCCGTATCAGCAAGCCCAATCCGATGTTTCAAAGACACAGAAGATCCCCCTTTTGATTTGAGAAGATCATGCTTTTGTGAAAACTTCCTAGTCAATGTACTAGGTTCCTCTACTTCTTCTTCATCCACACTTACAACCAGAACTAACTTCTCATTTATAACTTTTCCATCTTTCACTAATTGACTCCTTCTTGATTTAGTGTGATTGTTCCTAAGATCAGACTCAAGAGCCTCCTTCTTTTGCAACCTTGTTGTGGGTCTCTTAGGAGTGGGCTCTTAACAAAAAACTACTCTACGCCTAGGAAGACTAGCGATTGGTAAGTCATTAAATTCTTCTTCACTATCCTCCTTTTGATTTTTAGACACAAGACCTGTCTCAGGCATGATTACACTTAAAGGATCAACATCTAGATAAGGAAAGGGAGCTGGGTTAGTACTGGCCTGGGGTTCCTGAGTAGGACCCGGAGTTGGATCCTCCGAAGACAGATCAGGTCGTTCAACAGGTTCCTTATCTCTAAGTTTTAAGACCATCCTCACTTCCTTATCCAAAAACCCCTTCATTGGAAATGGACAACATATTTTCGATTGCTTTCTTTTCTTGTAGATTCACGAGAAGCTCAGGAAAAATAGGAGAGTCACCTATGGGCCTGGGTTCGGGAACAATCTCTCTTGAGTCGATGACTTTATTTCCCTCAACCTGGTCTGCTTTTGACTTTTCCTCTCTAGAAAAACTTGAGATTTTTCGATTTTCTTCATTCTCAGCAATATCCGTGACATTCCTCTTTTCTAGCGAGGTAAGAGATGATCTTTGGGCAACACCTTCTGTGAGAGCTGATGCTTGGTGACTCCTGTGAAAGTAGGAACTTGAATGGGTAGGAGAGGAGATGGAGGGTGAGGGTGACTCTATACTAGGGTTTTGTTTATCAGTAGTGTGAGGAGGAGAGACTAGTGCTGGTGTTTCGACTGGCGAGGACTCGATAGTTCTAGAGATCGTTTGATCTTCAGCCATTGTGAGAAAAGGAGAAGATTTGGTGACCTCAAGAGAGAGTGAATAGGGAACATGTTTGGAAGTGTGGATATGTGAAGTGTGGTGACAGAGATAAATGTATTTATGATGACAGAGAGATTGTTTAGAAAAGGGCGGTAGACTTTAGGGAGATGGGTCGATCTTATAACTGCTGAGGCGTTTGGGTTTAAAAGATACAAAACTAAAAGCTGACATGCTGATAATGTGGCACTTGTTTGATTGTTCAAAATTGTGCATGAGAGAACATAGAAACTACTAACCTGTGTCAGGAGAACCAGGTTCCCTAACTGATCTCTTGTCTGTAAGCTTTGCCTTTTTTACCGGTGTGTACAACTTCAAATGCTTATTTGCTTTGTAATCATCAAGCGTGTCTACCTATAATGGTATATATATGAGTTAGACTTTGCCAGAAAACACCTTTTTAGCTATGTTTATTTGAACATTTCTTTTATAGACAATCATTGAGGGACCGGGTTGTAAATTGGGTTTTATCAACCCAATGCCAGTCGATTTTGCTCGAAGTGTTCTCTGCTTAGAGCCTTGGTAAATATGTCTGCAATTTGTCTCTGAGGAAATGGTGACGTACATCAATGTGCTTTGTCCTCTTATGTTGAACTGGATTTCTTTGCCATGTTGAGTGCACTGGTATTATCACATAAGAGAGGAACACTGTCTGAGAATACTCTGAAATCTTCCAATTGTTGCTTGATCCACAAAAGTTGAGCACAGCAAGAGGCAACTACTACATATTCAACTTCTACAATTGAAAGTAGCACAAAATTCTGCTTCCTTGTACCCCATGAGATTAAGCAGGAACCCAAGAAGTGTGCCATCCTAGAAGTGCTTTTCTTGTCCACTAGATATCCAGCATAATCAATATCAACATACCCAATAAGATCAAAAACTGTCTCATGAAGGATAATAGAGGACAAGGTCCTGTGTTCCTTTAAGATATCTCAGTATTCTCTTGGCAGACTTCAGCTAAGATTCATTTGGATTGGATTGGAACCTTGCACAAAGACTGCTGCTAAAAGCAATGTTTGGTCTGCTTACAGTGAGATACAATAGTGACCCTATGATCCCTCTATACATGGTCTAATTTATAGGGGAACCAGGTTCATCCATGTCTAGACGAGTAGCTGTTACAATGGGCGTGTCGATAACTTTTGAGGCTTCCATATCAAACCTTTTCAGCAGCTCCTTGATGTACTTTTGCTGACTTATCAATGTTCCCTTCTTAGATTGCTTTACTTGAAGTCCTAGGAAGAAATTCAGTTCTCCCATCGTACTCATCAAAAATTCACTCCGCATGAGTTTAACAAATTCTTCACAGAGAGAGTCAGTTGTGGCTCCAAAGATGATATCATTGACATACACTTGAACAATGAGTAGGTTCCTCCTTCGTTTCTTTAGGAAAAGAGTTTTTTCAATTTTCCCTCTTGCAAAGCCATTTTCTAGAAGGAATTTCGACAACCTTTCATATCAAGCTTTGGGATCCTATTTTAACATATACAATGCATTATCTAGTTTAAACACATGATCAGGGTGTTCTTGACACTCAAAACTAGGAGGCTTCTTGACATAGACTTCTTCTTTTAGATAGCCATTTAGAAATGTACTTTTGACATCCATTTGGAACAAATTGAACTCCATATCAGACGCAAAGGCAATCAGAGTTCTAATGGCTTCCATTCGAGCTACATGGGCGAATGTTTCATCATAATCAATCCATTCTACCTGATTATATCCTTGAACTAAGAGCCTTTTTTCTTGTTATATTTCCAAACTCGTCAAGCTTGTTTCTGAATACCCATCTGGTTCTTATAATGGTTCGATCGGCAGGTCGAGGAACTATGTGCCATACCTTGTTCCTTTTAAATTGATGTAGCTCCTCTTGCATGGCTGTAATCAAATATGTATCTTTTAGTGCTTCTTTTATATTTTTGAACTCTATTTGGGAAAGAAAAGCTGAGAAGTCAAGTGAGTTCCTTGATTTTGATCTTGTTTGAACTCCTGAGTCAAGAGGAGTGATTATGTTGTTAAGAGGATGTGAACTTTTGAACCTACAATTTGGTGCCTGAGTCTCATTGGTAGAGGAACCAGGCACATCTGACTGGGATTCTTGAGCGCTTCTTACTTCACAAAGTGAGGTTCCTTGGATTGCATCAACAACTCTATATTCAGCTTCAGTTGTTGTAATTGGGGGACCAGCTTCCTCTCCAATTGATGGAGATGTATTTGCATCTTCTTCACTACATTCCTTGACATGGCTCATTATGTCTTCCTTTCCATTTTCTATGTCAATTACTTCACCTGGCACAGATAAGGGCTTTCCATCTTGATCAACATATCTGTCCTTTTTCACTGGAGAGGTGAGCTTCATCAAAGATCACATGAATGCTTTCTTCTACACATTGAGTCCTTTTGTTGTAAACCTTGTAAGCTTTGATTTGAAATGAGTATCCGAGGAAGATTCCTTCATCACTTTTGGCATCAAACTTCACAAGAGCTTCCGTACCATTGTTATGAACAAAGCATTTACACTCAAAAGTTCTTAGATGTGCCACCTTTGGCTTCCTTCCATTCAACATTTCAAATGGAGTTTTGTTCAGAAGGTACCGGATCATGCACCTGTTTACCAAGTAGCACGCAGTATTGACATCTTCTGCCCAAAAATATTTTGCAATCCCACTGTCAATTAGTATTGTTCTTGCCATGTCTTCAAGAATTCTATTCTTCCTCTCCACAACACCATTATGTTGAGGTGTTCCTGGAGTAGAAAAATAGTGAGTGATTCCTTTTCCAGTGCAGAACTCATCGAACTTGACTTTGTCAAATTCCGTCCCATGATCAAACTTGATTTAGGCTACTTTATTGCCTATCTTCACTTGGATATTTTTGACAAAGGCAACAAACACTTCAAAAGTTTCATCCTTGGTCCTGAGGAACAAGATCCAGGTGAATGTGGAATAGTCATCAACTATTACAAATATGTACTTCTTTCCTCCTCTGCTTGGCACCCTCATAGGTCCACATAGATCCATGTGAAGGAGATCGAGTGGCCTTGTGGTGCTGACTTCCTTTTTGGGCTTGAACGAAGATCTGACTTGATTTCCTTTTACACAAGCATCACACACCTTGTGATCCTTGAAGCTTGATTTGGGCAGACCACGAACCAGGTCCTTCCTTACTAGTTTGTTTAATAGCTTGAAGCTTGTGTGACCTGACCTCATGTGCCATAGTTCAGTATCATCATCAACAGTGCTTAGGCATCTTAAACCTCCATTCTTCAATGACTCAAAATCTGCTACATAGATATTCTTGTATCTTTTTGCCACTAGCACTACCTCACCCGTAACCAGGTTTGTCACTGTACATATTTTTGACAAATATTCGACCTTGTTTCCCTTGTCACAGATTTGGGAAATGCTTAGTAAGATGTACTTCAATCCGTTCATGTAGTACACATTTTTGATTGAGTAAGAGAGAGACTTCCCAATCCTTTCAACTCCTAGAATGTATCCCTTCTTGCCATTCCCAAAGGATACATTCCCTCCTTGCAGTGCCTTTAGTAAAAGGAAATCATTCGTGCTTCCAGTCATATGCTTTGAGCAACCACTATCCATGTACCATTATAGGCTGCTTCCTTTCACTGTTCCCTGCACAAAAAGATTAGGAGTCAGCTTTAGGAACCCAAGACAATTTGGGTCCCTTGTAATAAAAAAGGGATAAATAAGGGATCTTTTTGTCCATGCAGGCATTATGCATTTTTTAGATGAGGGACCAGGTTCTCTAGTAGTAGTTACTTTTTCAGCAAAGGATTTGTTTTTCTGCTTTGACTGACATCTGGCCTTATAGTTTTCTTTAAGGTGCCCATTGTTACCGCAGTAGTTACAAAGTCAATTGTCAGGTATAGTAACGTACTTTCTATGAGGGTTGTAAGGGATCTTTTCCCTTTGAAACCTAATTTCGTGCATGTTTCCCCATTGTTGGAGTACATGGCAGTGATCACATCAGAGGACCAGGTCTATTTGAGTGATTTTTCAAGATCACTCTTTACTCTACCTAGTTCTTCCTGAAATTATTTGTTTTTCTCAAGCTCAGCACACAGACTAAACTGCAGTGACTTTAGCTCATTTTCAAGATTAATGTTTGTCTCACTTGCAACTTCCTTTCCTTTTTGATAATTTTAGCCCTATTTTCCATTGTAGGTTTCCCAATGGTGTCCTTCAAGTCCATTACTACCACTAGAAGGTCATCTCTTTCTTGTTCTACATTTTCAATCCTTTTCTTTAAGACATTTCTTTCTTACTTCAGGTTCTCAATTGACTCTCTTAGATCAACCGCAACTATTACTAGGTCATCTCTAGACTATTCTACTTCTCCTAGTTCAACTATTAAGATGTCTCTGTCATTTATATGACTATGATAAGTGTCGATTAGCACATTTTCCAAAGACATGAGTTTCTTAGAAGAATAAGATTTCAGATTTCTTTGAACATACAGAAAATTTACCTCATCATCATCGTCATCTTAATCCTCAAACTTGGCTATCAAAGCAAAAATTGAATCATACTCGGTTGATTCACTTTCTACTGCCATCATAGAGCTGTTACATGGTCCATCATCTTCTCCAGATTTTCTTGATGAATCTCCCCATGCAGCAAGAGCTTGTCTCACGACGTTGTCAGCGACGTTTTTTCAATTGAAGCGTCTGTGAGAAAGCATGTTCCTTTTGGCTACTTTGTCAGAGTTGTTCTTATATTGATCTTGCTTTAAGACAGGGCACTCCTTGATAAAATGTCCTGGCTTGCCACATTTATGATAGAGATCATAATTCTTTGGCTTGCTAGAACTTCCCTTTTTGGAATGCCTCCATTCTTGCGAACCCTCTTCTTGAATCTTCTTATGAGGTATGCCATATCACCATATTCACCACTTGACTCGTTGTTTTCTATTTTGAGGACCAGGATCTTCTCCTTCTTGGGCTCTCTTATTTCACTGTCTTTCTTCTTCTTCTTCATCTCATATGTTTCTAGATTCCCAACAAGCTCATCAATAGTTAGCTCCAGCAAGTCCTTCGCCTTTGTAATGATGTTCACTTTGCTTTCCCAAGAACTGGGTAGCACGCTTAGGATCTTTCTAACCAGCTTGTTTCTTTGAATATTTTCACCAAGGGAGTAAAGCACATTAATGATGGAGGTGAACCGGGTATGCATTTATTGGACATATTCATTATCTTGCATCCTGAAGAGCTCGTATTCAGTTGTGAGCATGTCGATTTTTGATTGATTGACCTGTATTGTTCCTTCATGAGCTGTCTGCAGGGCTTCCCAGATTTTTGGCTGACTGACATGCTGATATCCTGTTGTATTCATCCGGCCCAATACCACACACCAGAATTTTCTTTGCACGAAAGTTCTTCTCTATGGCCTTTTTATCTACATTGTTGAATTCTTTCTTTGTTTTAAGAATGGCATCTGGTGGGTCACCAAGGTTTTTGGTAGGAATAAATGGTCCATCACATATGACATCCCATTTCTCAGAATCTTCACCCATGATGAAGTCACGCATTCTAATTTTCCACCATCCAAAATAATGTCCATTGAATCTAGGTGGTCTGTAAGTAGACTGGCCTTCTTCGAAGTTTGGAGGAGCAGCCATGAGGATCCTTTCTAGGTGTTAACCTGATAGAAAGAACCTGCTCTAATACTAATTGATAGAATATATGGGTCCACCAAACTCTATAGAAACTAGGTTCTCTATCAGATCCAATAGTACACACATACACAACAGTAATTAAATGGCAAGAGGAATTTTACGTGAAAAATTCCCAGATCGACGGGACTAAAAACCACGACCTACCCTTGCAGGACTTCAACTTCGCTACTGAGCAACATTCAAATTACAATATATGTATCCTAGTAATTAACCTCTTAATCTTTTACTAACTTGTAATACTCTATTACAAGTCTCTTTGCAATAACTCTATTACAAAAACTTTACTACTTGACTAACTCTAGCCAAGACTCAAACACATTGGTTTAAGGTTTACAAATGAGTACTATAGAATGCTTCTAAACAAGCTAGATTGGAATTACAATCAAAGAACTATTACAAAGTTACAACTCAACTAAGGACATACAATAACTCTATGTAGGATTTGGTCCGTAGTTGTTTAGTTCTTTGTTCTTGAAGCACTTCAAACTTGCTTGCTGGATGGTCACGTTGATAAGCTTGTCAAAATGTTTAAGTCATTTTTTTACCTCCCTTGCATGTATATA